TGATTTAACTTTTCTTAGTAGTAGCGAATATTATAAAATGCGCCAAAACCAAAAACAACCATTAATATTAACTATGCGCAAAGAGGATCAGCTAATAAGAAAACAACTTTATCCGAATCAAACATACCACAGCCATTAATGCATCATAAAACTGAATATGAAGTTGCTAACTGGGTTGCCTCACGACCATCAATTTTACATCTTGCGCAATTAATTTACAAGTCTAAAAAACGATCTATTAGTCAAGTTGATTATGATAGTACTGAAGGGGAGGAAACTATTATAAATGACCGTTATCCTTTAATGAGTTTAAATATGAATCGAAATGTAAGTAATAAATAATTTAATTATATAATAATAATATATAATAATATATTATTTTATCATTACAGACTATTGAAGATCGTGTTTATAAAGAATCACGAGCATTATTTTTACGAACACGAAATAATACCACTGAACTTTATGAAGAACTGGCTGCTCGAATTTTAAATACCAAGCGTGCACATCCAGAAATACCAAACTTAACAAAAAAAATTGGTAGTGTAATGGATAATCTTCGATATCAAGTTAACAAATCATTTGAAAAAACAGCCAAACAATATAGAGTAAAATATGGGTTAGTAAAATTTATATAATATTAAAATAATTAATTATCTAATTAATACTAATCACAATTTTAATAATTTATATATAATTATTTATTAATTTATTATATAGGAATGAAATTTCAAATCAAAATTTATATACTTTTATTGACGATAATGTTTGGAGAAACGCTCTTCATCTACCATTATTAGCAGTTAACAAAATGGCTGTTGATGACAATGAAGTAATCAAAAAAGGCTTAAAAACTTTTGTTATCGAAATGGTTAAACAATGGGTTCTTGCACTTCACGAAGAAAAAGACGCGAAAGGAGCAATCAAGGAATTTGATGAGCTTACGCTTGATCTTCCGATTCCAACAAACTATAATATTGTAGCACGATTACCAGTTCGAAAATTATTACAATATAAAAAATAACTTAGAGCAATATCTTTATAAACTACATTATATACAAATATGTAGGTTCATATAATCTATATAATATACTGCTTAAATTTGCTTTGTTATTGCTTAGATAATATAATATTAATATGATAATATTGTATAAATGCTTATAATATTATTTAAATCTCATAATAATAAGATTATAATCACGCCAATTTTATGTTACATACTCATAATAACTTATTTACAATATTGCAATTATCTCGTTAATATCTTTTCTAAATATTAATACAAATTTAATATCTATATATTATTAGAATATAATAATTATAATGCTACGATCTTATTAATAACTTGTATTAAACTTATAATAAAAAAAATGGTATATCTTAATTAGATCGTAGCAAGGTCCTTAAGATTCACGCAATGAGCTCGTATTAAGATTATTAAAAATATCATTTATATATTAGCAATATATCGTTATGATATTTTAAATTATTGTAGGTTTCTGTAAAGTACGCCAATTAAGAGAAATCGAAATGTGTGAATTTCTATAGAACAAGACTGTATTAAATAAAGTATAAGATATCTAAAGAAAGTATAAAATGTCTAAAGAAAAACATGCTGAAGGACTTCAATTTTAGTCGAATTTTTCTATAACAAACTGATGGTTCCGAATGCAAAAAAATAAAGTTCACTACATTCAAGCCCCTTTAAATGCATTGTAACGGGACTATATGCAAAAATTTAATCAAACGTGCGTTTAGAGAAGTATTGCACTTAGGAAGGTAAAAACCTATAAACATTATATTAGTTATGCCCAAGTTAATATGCGCAATTAGGGAGGCTTTTCATAGGGCGTGCATCTGGTGCATTTAGAGGGATCTGACTGTATATAAAATTACTATGTTTTTTAAGAAACTATAGATAGCTCTTTATGCTTAACTAATATAAAATTCAAAAATTTTTAGGTCATTTATTCAGAGTTCGTTATAGAAAGGTTTTTTTAAGAGAGTCATGACTGTATTGTATCTAAAGTATTGCTGAATAGAAATTAAATTCATAACCTTCAAGTAATTGAAAATAATTTCTAGTGATTATACGGATTATTACATGATATTCTAGAGCACAACCTTTTACACATTTTCGGTATACCCCAAATATATACAAAAATTTAATTTTTAATTTCTAGAGGAATGAAAAAATTTTCACGAAATAACCGAATTTCTAGAGGAATGAAAAAATTTTCACGAAATAACCGAATTTCTATATATGAATTTAATATAGCTAACGTTTTTTTTTTAAAAAAAATGAGAATTTCAATTAACAGAATTCCTTACAATAAATTCACAAATATTAAAAAATCCGCCAAACGGACAAAGAAAACAAAAAATCATTTGACTCAACTCAATTTTTGTTTAAGCAATTTCAATAAGAATATTTAAACGAGGTAATATTTTATATATTGTTTAGCATGAGCATAATTCGAGATACACACTTAAAAAGAATTAAGAATTAATTGAATCGATGAGAACAATAATTTTTATCTTTCAATTAGCTCTTTAAATTGTGCGTATCAAATAACGTTCCTGGGCGTTATTTCGAGATAATGCAGTAACATTCTTAAAGTTAACAGCATATTGTGATATCTGATATAACAGATCGACCCATATGATCTTGACCAGATTTAATTTTTTGACTTTAAGGAAATGAAAGCCTGTCTAATGCTAAAATTGGCCCAGAGGTAATTAGTGGTGAATAATATTTCATTAGTAAAAGTTTGAGTAATTTTTGCCTAAATTTTTCCTGGGTAATTAAAGGTGACGATGGATATTCTTTTTGTTCAGGAAGTGGCGAACCATATGATTTATTATATGATGGAAATACACCTGGATACACTACTGGTGATATAATTGGGTGCTATCTAAATTTTAGAAATAAGATAGTATTTTATACTAAAAATGGAATTAACTTAGGTAACAAACATTTAGCATTATAAGGTTATATTTTTTGAAACGAATAGGGCAGGAACTTAATAATTATAAAATATTTTAAGGAATTGCGTGTCATCTATATAGCAATTTCAAAGGCATTCTATACCCTTGTGTTGGATTTAGATCGCAAGGCGGATCAGTAGAAGTGAATTTCGGTAACGAAATATTTAAATATTCCGGTAAATTTATTCAAAGCTTAACGTTTTTAGCTTATTTAGAAGTTAATCTTGTTCATATATTTATTCAAACTTGATAGCAATGACTAATGGATATGAAAACAGTAGTATACTACCAAATAAGAATAACCCATTAGCATTGGAATATCAAGAAAAGGTTTATTTTAATATGGATGGACATGTAAATTACATGTATTTTACCAATGTAAATTTTATTGTAACTTAATGTAAATTACTTGTAAGTTATGTAAGTTGATCAACATATAGGGTTGAGTCAATAGAAACCGAGCAAATATTTTTTATTAAATTTTTTAAAACTTTAAACAAGGATAACTTAACAAAAACTTAATCGAGTTTAGTAAAAAAATTTTTATTAAATTTGGTTAAATTTTTGTTAAGTTATTCTTGTTTAAAATCATAAAAATTTTTATTATAAAAAATTTTCTTGATTTCCATTGACTCACCCCATATGTTTGCGTCATATATCAAATTTTAGCCATTACAGTTGATGTTAATGCTGGTAAAAATTGTTACGTGATTCAGCTAGCTTTAAAACTATTTTGTAACTTACATATAGGCCGGGTAAGTTACGTAAGTTACAGTGTAACTTACACGTAAATTACGTCGTCAGCAGTGTATAAAATTCATGTGCACAATGTGCACATGTGCACAATTTTTTTTTAGTGTGCACAATTTTTTAAACTGGATGTGCACTAATTAACATATAAGTTGTGCACAATTTTATAGTCAAAATTTTAAAATGTGCATAAAAAAATTTTTCCTATGTGCACATGTGCACAAAAATTTTTTTTCAGATTTTATACACTGGTCGTCAGGTATGTTTTAACTACCCTGGTAGTGTTCCAAATCGTTAGTTGAAAAATCAACTAGTTGCCAACTTTCCAACTAGTCGATTTGAAAAAATTTTAAACAACTAATCGATTAATCATTCAACTAGTGCAATTCCGAGAAATTCCGTCTAGTCGGGCAGATCCGAATTAATTCCTTTGGTTTGATTGGCTAATCATCTGATGATGCCACATGATGTGAACAATCGATTAGTTGCAACTATAGTTGGCAATTAATCGATTGGTAAAATATTTACCGACTCGGAACACTATACCCTGGTGCTCTAGTTGTAGTCTGGGATTTTTTTATAATTCGGGCCAATACCGTAATTCTAGTCGAAATTTACAGATATTCCGCATCCCACGCGGGATTTTTAGAAAAACCACAAATTATTCATCACTACTTATTGTCAAAATCATGAACAAATAACCCACCCATTGTTAAAATTACTGACTACTTATTATCAAAACTGTGAACACACCTGTTGCTGAAATCACAAAGTTGTCTACTGCTAAAATCGTAAACGCATTATATTGCTAAATCATGAATTTATTTGCTGTTTAAATTATTAACTAACCTACTATTAAAGTCACGAACTAACACGATTTGATTGTGACCATTTACTGTTGAGATCATTAATCCGCCCAATATTGAAATTATTGACTCATCCACCGTTAAAATTACTAACAAACATCTAATGATGAAATAATGAACCTAACTATTATCAAAATTTTGGACTCGCCCACTATTGAAATCAATAACACACCTATTATCAAACTCCTCGACTTACCTAATACTATAATCCACACACTGTTGAAATGATTAACCTTTCCATTGTCAAATAACGAACTACTACAATTATCATTGTTGCAAGAATGATGTTCTTTCATATTTTGCAAATCGTGATCTAACATGTGACTCAATAGTGAAATGCATTTCTTAAATATAAATATAGTATTTTCATAATTTTGGCATGCCATATCTATATTCACAATCACCGATCAGGCAATAATTAGATGATTATGATTTTAGAAATGTAATCAAATATGCTATTTTGCAAACCACAATAAACCACGAATCTACATACTATTGAAATTATGAACTCACCCACTGTTGAAATTACTTATCTATCCACTACTAAAACGTTAACCTACCCTTTATTAGATTTACGAACCCACTCAATGTTAAGTTCGTTAAAATTAAACTTTAAAAATATTTTACTAATCATTTACAGTAATAGAAAAGCCGTGTCATAGTTTTTTTAATAAATGAGACTCAACATTTGTTTGATCCCATTATATATGACCACACGAATGTTAAATGATTTTTCTACTCAACAATAAAAGATTGGAGTTTTAAATATAGTCAACTTTGCTTATACTGAACACTTTGTAAAAATTTTCGAAATGTTCAGTTTAAAATTCACCATGTCTATAAACCAAACTTATTAATAAAATTTATAAGTGTTTTAAAACTTTGCTCAACATTTATTAAGTGTTTGCATTCAATATGTTGAATGATAAGTCATTCAACTTACGTATATTCAATATATCAGATAATATGTCATGTGGCTTCACGTCTGTGAAGCCACAGAAGCCACATGACATATTATTTGATATATTTTAAAATAAGATTTATTAAAAGTTACCAATAATTTACTTTAAGGATAAAGGCATGTTTTACATGGTTCATTTGTTTTAACAGCTTTTGCTGTTTTTTTATCTCTTATTTAGATTGATAGAGTTACAGTCACTATAATGTAGATGTATATCTTTTACTGGTTTAATAACATTCATATATTCACATTCGATGCAAACATCTGAGTAGATTCAGCTGAATAGTATGGCTTTTCAATTTTTGCTACACAATATAACGAGAAATAACAAAACTTCATTAATAGAATTTTCTCTGTGAGTATTAGATTCTGCACTTTCGCCAGACTTTTTTAAATTTTCACCCACCTCTTCTTTTTCCAAGCTTTCAAAGCTAGATTGGTAGGCTATCTGTTAAAAAA